CCCCATGCAACAAAAATTGATACTATGTGTTCATTATGGTCCATTCTTCCTCGACGAACAAGTACATAAGTGACAATTTAGTCAAAGACGAGAAAACTGCACAAGAAATTTGCCTTATTTACACGTATCGGCAATGCAAGCTGCCATGCGACTTCCCCTTCTGACGTCACAAGGGGAATTTCTGTATGCAAATGAGAAGCTAATGAGGAGCCTCGTTTTAAAATACACAAAAATAAAGTTGCCGTAGACTGAGTTTAAAACACATTTTTTCACTTAAAAAAAATAATTCATGCTTAGAAACATAAAAATTAATAATATTTATGTATCAATGGATAATTTTAGGCGTGAAAATCGCAGCCATTTCACAGGCACTTTAAAATGGTTGCCATTGGTTATCACGAGTCAGATAGTCAAACGAAAACATGTGTATAGCTGTGACATGATGAATGAATCTGCTCAAGCATGCCCGAAAAATGATGTTTTTTGGGACTAAAATAGTCAAATTTCAACAAGCGAAAAAAAAATTAATGTGCATGTGTATCTCATCATGAATTGTATTTTTACGAAATCTGAACAAATCGGATCAGACATGTCTAAGAAACGTTGATGTATGGGTGAACAGACAAAGCTCAAACATAATTCTCATTTTAGACTCTGCACAACAGGGACTAAAAAACAATTAGTGTTCTACAATTAGTTATACAAAATGGTTGATAATTATGGTGAATTTTTGAATTCAGGTTTATTGTACAATTTGATGTATAACGTCAAACTGGTGTTTTATATACATAAACAGATTCCAGATTTATATCAGTTACAGTAATTAATTGATGTTCTTAAAAATAGTAATCATGGTAAAAATTGTTTATTTCTGAATATCGGGTGTTGCCTAGTTACTAATATATAAAAGAAATCACCCTGCACTAGATCGTACATTGTAAGTCTAACCAAAGGCAATGAGATGAAAATGAATTGGGATAAATCGAATTGTGGTACGAATGTGTCATTTGTGAATAGGGACGATTTGAATGAATCCACCAGGTATATAATGTATGTCTAAATATATACATGTATCTGTAAAAAACACAAATTTCTGTTTTGGTGTAGTTTATTATGTATTTTAGTAAAAAAATAAATTCTGGCAACCAACAATTTTGTACTTGGCTATCAAATTTTTCAGCTGGCCACCAACAATTTGAAGTGGCCAATGACTACTAGGAAAAAATTTAACTTTGAGGGCTGCATTGTATAGAATAAAAGAGAATCACAAAATTTACTCCACAGATGACAAGAGGATTGTGATTGGATTATATTGTTTGCAGAGCTGACTTTTAACCACTCACCAAGTGCGACACATCTTGTCATTTGATCCACAGCACTCTTTGATGTACAGTATGCTAACACTCCAGGAAACTGTCAGAGATATTAAAAAACTGCTTTTAGTGATATTGAATTTGTGTAAGTTGCATGGCTACTCGATGTGTTGATTCAAGGAGAGGGAGCTGAGGGGTACTTTCAATGTATACAAATGTGTTGTTAGATGGGGTCCCTTCTTTCCTCTGAGCAAATCTGGCACTGGTCCACTTTGCTATTTCTCCTAGTCAAATAAAGTATTAATTTTGCAAATAATATAAAAGCATGGCTCTGAAAATTGTGCCAAATTAGCGCATTACCCCCCCCCCCCCCCCCCGAAAAAATTCATGAAAGTGAACTTCTTGTTATTTGGCAATGGTGAAGAATCCTTTCAAGCAAACTGTCCTAAAAATATCATAAAAATTGGTCCACAACCTTAATCGAACATAGATCAATCACCGCTGCCGGAAACATTTAATTTTTGCCAAATGTAATAAATGACATACTTACTGCTCGTATACCATTAACACTGGAAACATTTACAATGCTGCCTTGGGACTTTATAAGATGAGGTACAGATAGTGATGTCAAGTTGAAAACGGACCTAAATAGCAACAATCATACACCAAGTAAGAATTTGTATTTACCATTCATGTCCTTCAAGATTATAACCTTTTGAATGTAATTGATTTTCCTGGTGTTCAAAGCCAATGGTAAATCTGTAAAAATATATACCAGCTCTGGAAGGATTACAACACGCCATGCATGGCACAGTCCCCGTTAGTTATCAAATTTAAGATATATAGTTTTGTTTATAGTAATATAGCTGGAATATAACCATGTCAGGAATATGATTTTTTAACAGTAAAATTATTGACATTTGTATCTGATCGTCAAAAAAGTACGTGTTCATATTGAGAGATATTG